GGGGGCCTAGCCAGTCAGGGGTGCTGGCCAAGGCTCCCCATGATCTTCCCAAGGTCTCAGGTTTTGGAGGTCCCCAAGACCAGGCGCGTGCTCTGGGAGGGGTCTCTTAGGGCTGGTGATGGCTCCCAAGGACCCCCTGTGCTCTGGGCTGGGAGGAGGGTCCTCTCATTCCCATGCAAAGGGCCTGGGCAGGTCAGTCAGGACTGCCTCCCCAGCAGGAACCTCGCTCAGAGTGCCAAGAGTCTGTGAGCTCGCCCCAAGGTTGGGGCCGAGGACCCACCGCTCTTCACTGGTGTGAAGAGCAAACAACAATGGGTGCAGGGGTGGGGAGGCTGGGCTGTGGGGGCAGCTGGCTGTGGGAGTCGGGGAAGGGGAGAGGGTCAGAGGGGCGAGATCGAGGAGGAGCAAGGTCAGAGGAGAGGGCTGGGGGACCAGAGAGGTGGATGGGCTTGCAGGCTGGAGGCTGCAGCCAGTGCAGGAAGACTTGGATGTGAACTTCAACTTCGAACAGAAGGTGAAAATACCTCTGTGTGGAGGTGTTCTCAGGACTGACCCGGCTTGTGTCTTTCACACGCTGGCCCTGCGGGGCTGCACGGAGCTGCCATGGTGGGAGGAACCCCTTGGGTTTGCTGAGGGAGGTGTCTGGGGTGGGCTGAAGTGGGGGCTGCACGGGGCATCCACTCTGGGCTTCCCCTGGGTGGGCGGGGGGTGGCAGGCTCTGTCCTTCCTCCACACTCTGTGCTTTGCTCTGAGAGGACACCCCCTAGCAGGCTCAGGTGGCTGAGAGCACACTCTGCATTTGGGTCTTAAGGCACAGCTGCGTTTGCACCCCTCTCTGCCTCTCCCAAGTAGGAGAGGGAGCTTGGGGGACCAGGAGGTGGCCACCTGTGCCCATGGCACCTCCGTGATCTCAGCTGTGACCGTCTTGCCCTCCTCGCTGCAGGCAGGGGTGGGGAGGAAGCCTGGGCCACCAGTCTTTCCTCTTGCATGCACAAGGCAGGAGTATCCAGATGCAGATCATGGGAAGGGGAGGGAGAGGGGGCCCCTTGGGCCTGGGGGTCAGGACACAGCACTTCTAGAGACTTACATGTGGCTGTGCCTGCGGGGGCAAGTGCAGGGGGCTGGTACACTGGTCCCTGGCCCTACACCCTCCACAGCCAGCCACACCTCCAAGCCCAGTGGATCCATGTCCATGGAGGAAAAGCCAGAGAGGCCTGTGAGCACATCAGGACCCAGAGATCAAGCAAGGGCAATCCTCCCCCTCCTGTGGGACAGAGAACTAAAATTCACCAGTGCTGGCAGCCAGGGAGTCACCACATCTGTGCAGCAGTGGTGCCCCAAACCTTTCATTGAATCTGATCATGAGAAAACACACTCTGACCTTGGAAGAGACAACTGGCCTATGTTAAAACGTCGAGGCTGAGACAGATGCAGAAGAGGGGTGGGTGGGACTCTGCCCAGCTTAAGGACACAGGAGAGGCAAGACAGACGAGTGCCATAAGGATCACACAAACATTCTGGACACAGTGTGGGGGTAAACAGAAAATCTGGATGTGGCCTGTATATCAGCTAATATTACTGTATGTTAAATTTTAGGAATATGATGTGTGTGTGTGTGAAAGAATGTCATTTTTAGGAGGTACATATTGAAGAATTTAGAAATATCTGGGGATATTTTATAATGTTATTTAAACATTCTTTTCTAATGTTTTGAACAAACGTCCCTGTAAAAAATGTGTGTGACGCATGTGCAGAGAAGCAGAAAGAGAGTGGGAGTTCAGGGTGAATAAATACGACACGGTGTTAACCCAGGTCAGTCTTGGGGAAGGCTTCATGATGTCCATGAACTACCTTTTCAATCTGTCATTTGCAATCTTTTAAATTAAAAGTGGAGGGGAAATAGGTACTGAGAAAATAAACACACAGTGTAGGGCTTCCTTTAAGCTGGGCTTATCTTTTCAATGGAGAAGGAAATGGCAACCCACCCCAGTATTCTTGCCTGGAGAATCCCAGGAACAGAGGAGCCTGGTGGGCTGTTGTCGCAGAGTTGGACGCGACTGAAGTGACTTAGCAGCAGCAGCAGCAGCATCTTTTCAAGTCCTATAATTAATGAGCTGGTTTTGGCCATGCTGCGGGGCTTGTGGAATCTTAGTTCCCCAACCAGAGAACAACTTCGAGCCCTTGGCAGCTGAGAGTGTTGAATCCTAACCACTAGACCGCCAGGGAATTCCCGAAGTTCTTGGTGGTGATGACAGTCACGTCTCTTACATTTGCAAAGCAAGGCGTGCTGACACAGTGTGTGAACTCCTCTTACGGGGCCTCTTGGCCCCGGGGGAAGCCCATCTGCTCCTGTGATTCCTGGCTCACAGACACATTTCAAAAATCAGACCGGAATGGGCGCCACGCCACGTGGGCTGCTATGAGACCACAGACTACACACACCAGTGCTCCTTTTCGGGGTTTATTTCATCTGCTCACATTCATCTTGACCTAGACAAAAACAATTAGATGATGATGACTTGCGTTTCCATCAACTCGTTTTTTTGTATGAGTCACCAAAAGGTTTCTTCTCAACACTTTTTTTTTTTTAATAAGAAGCTATAAATAAATAAAGCTTTAAATGCTCCTGGTTTCAAGTTAAAGACTTCCAGTTCCCAAAAAAGTTCACAAACTCATTGCTCGGACAGTGCTGCCGTCCCTGACTCCTCCTCCGAGAGGGGACGCTGCAGGCTGGCATGGGGGAGCTGTCCGCTCACTGCATGTTCGCTTCTGTCCCCTGGCCCTGGGAAGGGGCAGGGAGGCCACCCTTTCCTGAAGCCCCAGCCCGTGGTGTCGGAGGAGATGTTGCAGGCATGAGAAACCTTCGCCTCAGGGCGGGTGTCCTGAGCAGGCAGTGTTGGATGGGAGACTCCAGCAGCTGAGGGTGATGCCAGTTGGGACCCTCACTGGTACCCATTAGGGTGCTGGCCGGAGCCGGGACCTCCTCCTGGATGCAGCGGAGAAGCCGAGGAGATCATGTGACTTGGGACGATAGGCCATAAGCTACAACATTCCATTATGTACAAACAGATCCTGCACTCAGGCCCTCACACTCAGGAGCCCGCCTTGAGGAGGGCTGATGCAGCCAGGTTACTGGCTGGGTTCCAGGGGCTCCGGCAGAACAGGGCTGAGCTCTCCTCCTAGTGGGAGGCCACTGCGCACACTTGTGCGAGACCTCAGGGCTCTTGTGAACCTGGAGCACGCCCTCACGTAAGTATCAGCAGATCCCCATGCTGACTTTCACATTCCTTCAAAAGAGCCACTGAGTCACCTGGTGCTCACCTCCTCAGCATGATGTGTCCACTCTGGGGGTCTGCTGATCGCTCTGCCCTTGAACTGCAGGGCGAAGTGGCCAGTGGCATAGGAAGTCCCTATGCCAGACAAGCAATAACGATTCTGCCTCCTGGGTAGCCACCTCATTTGACAACACCCTAACTTTCCCAGTGCTGTGGAAGGGTCCCTGCTCCCACTCTCTCACTCCACAGTAGGGAAGCTGGGGTGGAGAACCCAAGGGGGATCTGCCTAGGAGGCTGCTGTGGCCCTCACATCCTCGTGTCACGTATGAGTCCTCTATTGGACAGAGGAGGAGCCTGTCCACCCCAGCTGTGGGGCTCACACTCAGCTCCCCAGATCTCAGGTCTCACATGGATGGGGGTACATCCAGAGGTGACGCTGGCCTGGCCCCCTCGAACATCCGAGGGATGGGCATGGGGCAAGTGTTGGCAATGACTGAACATGGCTTATCCAATCTGCAGGGCTCTGGGGACAGGCCTGACCAGCTGGTATGGGCAAGGGCACCGGAGAATGCGGGGAGAGGCTGGGGATGGGGGGCTGTGTATCTGGGCACAAGGAAGCCACCCAGAGCTGTTTCTTCCAACTCTAGCTAAGAATCTGAAAGAACTGTGTATCCTATCCTGGCTGTCCTGAGCCACCATGGCCCCAAACTAGGGCTCGTGGGCACGGCCATAGTCTGCAGTGTTCTAGCCAACGGAGGCCTGACTGAACTTGATACACAGGGTGTGGGGGGCAATGGGGTGTAACCTCAAATGAATGTCCAAGTGGTGGTCTTGGAGCCAGGCGCAGTCCACTAACCAAGCCCAGAGGGTCAGGAAGGAGACCGGGGCCAGGCAGAGCTCCGGATTTCCACCTGCTTCCTGTCTGGGCTGCAGGCTGGGTGGTCTGCTCAGTCACAGGCAGCATGGTCCTCAGCCATGGCCTTCCTACTCCTGGGATGCCCTCTGCCCGCGGGAGAGGGCACTGCAGTGCAGGGCTATCCCCCCACAGCTCCCCTCAGTCTAGGGACTGTGGACAGTGGGGTGGGGGGCCCCGGGTGATGTGCTTTGATCTCCTCATGCAAAGCATGAAGCCAGACTGTGGGTTTTGACCTTGGGCTAGAGAGGGGAGTGGGCTGCCCAGGGGCTAGACTAGAAGCTTCTTGGCTTTGCACGAGGTGGGCCCTGACCTTGAAGACAGGTGAGCTGAGAGCTCCATTCCTGAGGCTACCTCAGATGGCTGCCTGTGTCCCCCAGAGGCCCTGGGCAAGGGTTTCCCTGGAGGCTGAGGGGCTGCTGGGTGGCCTGAGGCTGGGGGGAGGTGGCCATGTGCCCCGCGGGTGTGCCACACCCCTGACCTGGCAGGGCCGCTCTCCACCACACGGGCCTTTTCTAGTTTTCAAACCTGCGGCTTTTGTCACCATGAGGTGGGGGCCAGGAGAGTGGGTGCCCACTCGCTCCCAGCCCTGCAGGCCAGGTGGGGTGTCCTCCAACACACTTCACACGCTTGACTTCTCAGACCCCAGCCTGGCAGGGCGGGAAGAACCCACGCGCCCGGCTCAGTCCTCCAGCGCTCAAGGCGCATCTGCCTTCTGGCTGGTGGACGGGGGTCCTCTTCCCCGAGTTCTGGGGGCGGGGGTGCCGGTGAGCCCGCCCCGCCCCGCGCCCCGCCCCCGCCGCCAGCCGCCACTACCACTTCTCGATGATGTGGCTCATGTAGTCCTCCGTGGGCACGCGGCCGGCGTCGTCGGCGTCGCCCCGCGGCGGCGCCTCCTGCGCCCGGTGCAGCAGACGCTCCTCGCGGCTCCGGAGGCGCTGCTGCCGGCGCTCCAGCTGCCGCTTGAACTGGTAGCGCTGCTGGAAGAGGTCCCGGGCGTAGTCGTACAGCTGCATGTCCAGGTCGTTGAGCTCCTCGATGCGCCGGACGGTGTCCTCGCCCACCTCCACGCCGCCCGCCCGCGTGCTGTTGTACTGCACGAACGGCCGGATGAACTTGAGGTTGAACGTCCGCTCGAACAGGTACTGCGTCTTGCGCTGGAACTCGGTCAGGCCGAAGAAGGCCATGCCCCGCAGGTTCTTCTTGGCGCTCTCCAGCAGCAGCTGGGCCCGCTTGCCCTCGGGGATGAAGGACAGGTTGTAGCAGCCCACCAGGCTCAGGTCGGCCAGCATGCGCACCTGGCGGTTGTTGGCCAGGTTGTAGGGGCAGTCCATGAACTCCTGCAGCGTGCAGCCCGACCAGTCCGTGCCCTCGTAGCACGGCGGCAGCTCCTCGGGCGTGGGCGTCCGCCCGTCGCACATGTGCAGCGACGTCTTCCACGTGGCCCCCCGCTGCACGTGCCGCCACTCGCTCAGGTAGCGGGACACGGGGTCACGCAGCAAGGTGATGTAGTAGAACTTCCTGCAACAAGACGGGGAGGGGGAAGTGAGGCTGGGGCTCCAGGCAGGGGCTGGAAACACAGGGACCATCTGGGGGTGAAACAGGGGGCAGGCTGCAGTCCTGACTACTCAGTGTCTACGCTGTAAGACCTCCGGAGAGTGCTGCCCCCCCCACCCCACACACACACATCTCAGTTCTCCAAAGGCCACGGCCAGATGAGAAATCCAGGTGTAAAATGTGGCATGACCTGCAAAGATCATGGACCACCACCTCTAATGCAGAGTGTGACCACCACAGCATCTTGCAGAGCCCAGCTGTGGTGCCCTCTTGAACCCTGGTCCAGGGTCCTCTCTAGGACCTTCTCCTGAGCCCCAGGCATCATGCCTTGCTAGGGACAACCTGACTCTGCCCCCCAGGGGGTGGAGGGTGGTCCCAAAGCCATGCGGAACCAGCACTTTAAAGATCTGTTCATGGGGGCAGGCTTGGTGCCATGCGGGGGGCCGCTCAGAAGTCACTCACAGACCCCCTAGATCAGGTCCTCCCATTGGGCCCACTCCACTCAGCTCCTGCAGCGGTCCAGTGGGGGAGGGGCACCAGGAGATCACCCAGCTCAGGGCCCACTGGGTGAGCCGTAACTTATCGTGTATATCATCTCTCAGGAGCTGTTCCAACCCCCACGTCCCTCAAGATGCCATCTGCCCAAACTGTAAGGAAGGGGCATCTATGCCACAGGCCTGTGCCCGGCCACCTGCTGTCCTGAGCCCCCGCTCCCATCTCTGCCCTCCTTTGCCCATTATACGTATCCGCAGACACATCAGCTGTTTATGTTCTGGCTTACCATCTTCAGAAAGGGGGAGCAAGGACACTGATCAAAGTGAGCAGAGGGGAGGTGCAGTGCGGGGTGGGGAGGGCAGAAGACCCCCAGATGACCACAACCCCCCCACATCCAGGCAGCTCCCTGCCCAGGATGAGACTGGATGTGTGTTTTCTGGAGGTGCTCATGGCTCAGAGACACGAGGAACTGGGCAGGCCGCCAAACAACAGGCTGCACGTTCATGGGAGACCAGCCTCTGCCACCGAGCGCCCAGGCTAAGCTGACCCCTGCCCCAGCCCCACACCGGAGGAAAGTGCAGAGTCTCTGCCCAGAGCGAAGTTCCTCCTGCACTCACATCTGGGGTCCCTCACAAACAGGGGGCATCCTGCCTCTCACCCTCCAGCAGGATCTGCCCATCCAGGCCGGCCAAGTGCTAGCCTGTAAGAGTACCAGAGGAGGGGAGAAAGGACACAGGGGAGGAGAGGACGAAAGAAAGAGAAGTAGAGTACTTAATTCATCTAGAGTGAAATGGCTCACCCACCACCTCGTGAATGAATGTGGAGATCAGACCCAGGATCATAGAGACAACCCATGAAGCATGCAGACAGAAAACCAGAATACGTAAAGAGGGTTGGTTGTCAGAATGGGACTCAGCATCTCTGTGGACCACCAGATGCTAAGAGTCAATGGAACAATGGCTTCAAAATGCTGACAGGAAATGACCAAATGGATCTCAGGTCTAGCCAAGCTATCAACCAAGTGTAAGGGGAGAGGAGAGACATTTTCACACAAATGAAGGCTTGGGAAATGTATTTTCTGTGAATCCTGCTCTAGGAAGATACTGGAGTGTGTACCTCATTTAGTAAATTAAAAAAAAAGTGTAGGAGACAGGAGCTGGAACCCAGGGAGATCCCAGATATCCCCTGGGCATCCCACTCGGCCTGTCAGGAGTAGAGGGACGGGGTTCTAGAAAAAGGGGCACGGACAGATCACCTCACACCACAGAGCATTTGTGGGAAAAAACACATGGTATAGTAGATACACAGCAGATCTTTGAAATCATTTGGAAAAAACCTAGTCTATGAAGATGGAAGACAAACCAAGTAAAAAGTAGGGCAATCATTACATCCAGGAAAAATGAAAAGTTACATAAAAAAGAAAACTAAGTGTACTACTATACTCAGAAGAAAAACACTGGTTTTTGAGACATCAGGATGTAAATGGTGGTTATTAATTTAATAAAAACTTGAGTTTTAACTCTCCTTGGAGGATGGGTGGGGGTGTGGAGAAGGATAAGGGTTTAAGAACCTACCTCATCCACCAGAACAGAAAGCACACTGATAATTTTTAAACTAATCAACTAAGAAACAGCACTACAGGACTTTTCTGGGGGGTCCAGTGGTGAAGACTCTGAGCTCCCAATGCAGGAGGCCTGGCATTGGTCTCTGGTCAGGGAACTAGATCACACATGCCACAACTAAAGATTTTACCTGCTGCAACAAAGATCCTGCATGCTGCAACTAAATATCTTGCATGCCGCAATGAAGATGGAAGATCCTGCATGCTGCAACTAAGAGCAGCTAAGCAAATATTAAAAAAAAAAAAAAAGAAATAGCACTAAGCATTTAGAAACATGAAAGTAAAAACATGAAGGCCATTCTCCATTTATCTATTTATTTTTGGTTGCACTCGGTCTTCATTTCTGTGCTTGAGTTTTCTGTAGTTGCAGTGAGTGGGGGCTGCTCTTGCACTGCAGTGCACGAGTTTCTCATTGCAGTGGCTTCTCTTGTTGTGGAGCACAGGCTCTAGGCGCATGGGCTAGTAGCTGTGGCGAATGGGCTTAGCTACCTGGCGGCATGTGGAATCTTCCCAGACCGGGAATCAAACCCGTGTCCCCTGCATCGGCAGGTGGATTTTTAACCTCTCTACCACCAGGGAAGTCTGACATGAGACTAGTGAAGAGAGCTGCAAGAGGTTCTTTGGGGAAGCTGGAAAGGAAAAGCAGATCTGCTGGTTTTTATCATAAACCACTTGGAGCTATTTGTTTTTATGCATGTGTGTGAATTCTTATAACTAAAACCATTAAAAGTAAAACAAGGAAACTGGCTAAGAAAACATATGGAGAGATGCTTCCCTTCATTAGGCATTGAGGAAACAGCACCCTCAGCCACAATGGGATACCTGCTGGAGTGGCAAATCAGAAGTGGGGCAATGACAACTTTCAACAACTGCTTATGGGATGTTTACTGGGGACAGCTGTCATGGAGTGACTTCAAAGGAAGGTTGACGGCACACACAACCACCCCATGACCCTTGAGTCCTCTCCTAGACACACATCCTGGGGAACCCTTGTCCGTGAGTTCTGGGAGATGTGGACAAGACCATCACAGCACACTGCTCATGATAGCCCCAAACATCCTCCGCAGAGGCATGCTTTCACAAACGGGGTACATTCTTCCAACAGGGCATGGCTCATTTAAAAGGAACAAATTACAGCTGCTCAGAGTAGCGCGGTTAAATGTGATGAATAAGATGTCGCTGGAAAAAAGCAAATTAAGAAGACATAGAAGAGTACTACTGTCTAGTCACCAGAGAAGCCCTATGGTTTATCAAGCTTCTAAAAATAAAACCAAAGAAAATACTATTTAGTGGTAAAGAATAGGTGACGTTAAAATATTGCTAAAATATTAACAAGATGAGATGGTGTAATACACAGGAAAGTTCCAGTCAGAGGTTAGCTTTGGTCTGTTGAGGGGAGGTGGGCACGGTGGCTTCCATGGCATTGTTCACGTCCTTGTGCTTAAGACAGGCAGTGAGGGGTTTATCTTCATACTTTATCCCTTACGTACATTCATCCAATGTATGTTTGGGACATATTTGGGACGTATTTCTTTGTGTGTCCCAAACACTTTGTGATAAGGAAAGCAGTTTTTAAAACGAAGGTTCTCCAGGGCAGCCTGCGAAGGCCCTAAAGGGCTTTGTTGAAGCGTGCTGGTTCCCCTCCACTTCTGTGCCAGCTAACACCAGGTGTCTGCAGCTCCTCCCTCACCCCCCCTCTGTCACACCTGCTAACGTGAATAGGCAGAGGCTCCACGGGGAGGGGAGGACCCCTGTGGGCACCACCTCTAGGGACCGTGAGGGTGGCCAGCATTCTGGGTCAGCCGGGGCTGCCCTGAGGCTTGGGAGCTAACCACATGCTCCCCAGCCAGCTGCTCCTGACTCAGGGAGGAACCACAGCTCCTCCGGAGCCGAACGTCTGGGCTGCTGGCCGGCTTCCCATCGAAGAGGGCTTTGGGGGTGCAAACAGGGCCAGCACACAGTGCACTCCACTCCCTGGAGCACAGGGAGGGGGCCTCACGCTCAGCCTCTCTGTCTCCAACACTGAGGCTGCCCATGGAACGCAGTGGGCCGGGGCTGTCTCCTGGGAACTGGGAGGAGCCACAGTGGGCATGACTGCAGCTGGGTGGGGGAATGAGGAAGAGGCGGCGGCGGAAGCCCGTGGCCCTGCCCTGGCACTCGTGCCCCAAGGCACTCCATGAATGTGCGGCAAAGGACATGGACCAGCAGTGTCCCCAGGGCCCCAATGGCCATGACCACCGTGCCCATCACAAGCCAGGCACAGCCCGAACCCAGACACTTTCCCCCTTTCAGGCTCAGAGCGGGCAGGGCTCTCAGAATGCTCTAGGCTGGGAGGGGCAGAACCAACAAGCATGGTAGGTGGTAATGAATGGCACGTCTCACCAAGGGGGAGGGTAGGAGGGCTTCTCAGAGACAGTGGAGACATGGCCTTTCGTGACTTGAGAAGGGGGCAGTACAGGCTTGAGGCGCAGGCAGGGCCAGACAGAGAAGGGTCTTGTTCATTTACAGGAAAACAAGCTCAGATGGGAAATGGCACAGGGTGCAAAATTCACATGGATTTCAAAGACAGAACATGGGACTTCAGAGAAACTTCAGGCTGTGAAATAATTCTAGCCTGCATGGGCTGCAAGCACCCGTCAGCCCACACATGAACCTCCCGTGTCATGCTTCCTTGCGTTTAATTATGCTTCGTTTAATGCTTTCTGCAACCTTGGCTGTTCTGACACTTTTGGGTGCCCTGGTTCAGTGCATCCCACAGTCACGGACGTCCTGGTGGACAAGGAGTGTGTTTTGTTCTTGGGTGCAAACACCGCTAACAAGGACTGGCCCGCACTACAGTTTTAAGAGT